CCCACAGTAAACCTGTACTTTTAATGCTTAGCACACCAAGTAAGCGACAGACGAAGCAACATGTCAGCCTTTCGTCTTGTTGTCTGAGGAGTTTGATGGGTTCAGAGTCACTGGTAGCTGCAGTCAATTATACCTCGGGTTGAAACAGAGCACAAGATATTGCCCTCCCTGGAGTTCTACAGAGTTTGTTATCTTGCATCTCATTCAAATCAATAAAAAAAAACATTAATTCAGTACAATCACAACCGATCCCAGCTCAGAATGGACGATGACAGGGCACACTAACCTTTTTATAAAGAAATATTCTACTGTAACAGACCCTTCAAACCCCATTCTAGATGTCATGAAACACTGTTTGCTCCAAAGCAAGCAACCACAGCACAGTGAGCTACAGTTGAGGCTGCATTCCCACAAACATATGTTGTGTTCCCACTATCAGAACCTAATGAGCAGTATATCCCGTACTTCCATTAACCATCACCAAGCATAGTCTCTGGGGTTGACGTGGACCATGCTGCTTTGTTTTTCCACTGTATTTTCTCTCTGTCAGTCTCTGTTTAGAGGAGGGAGGGGCTGCTCCCCTCTAGAACACACAGTCAAAACGCAGACATTTAACCAATCACTGGCGACTGCTCTGTGCACATCCACACCGTACCCTCTTGCATCCCGGTACTTGATTTTAGTATTCTAGTACCTCCTGAGGGGGTGCTGAAATTTAGCTCCCGCAACCAACACACCTCCCAAACAGGTGCACCATAGGGGAAACAAACGCAAAACCTGTGACGAGCGTTACTCAGCGCGACAAGTTTCTGTAGATTCCTATAATGGAAAAATCCCTATACAGTACAAAGCACACAAACATAAAAATAGGCCCAGAAAAATGCAAACACTGCTGTGCAGCAGTACTGACTTCAGTGGATGCAGACAAAGTTTGAGGTTTTAATGTGCAGCATGTACTTCTTGAAACAAACCAATCAACAGGCATTATTTAAAAAAAAAGATATAAAAATATATATAATCCATTTGCTACATGAATTGCAACTCAAAGACAAAAAAAAACTAAACACTGACCAAACTTAAATGAAACCCAGTACAGAAACAAATCCCTACATGTATGCACTTAAATGTATTTACATTCAATTCAAACACAGCAACCAATAATGAAATCCTTGATATGAAAAGGAACAGAAAGAAGAATGTCCTCATGTGACTCTCAGGACCCACAGAACCTTCTGACAAGAAGAAGGCTGGATAATTACTATAAAATATGTTTTAACTATTTAACAGTTCCTACATTTCTGTGCATACATTTTGAGGTACTTTACTTTTTCTCAACCACATATATTTGAAAGTTTAAGTTACTTTGCTGATTAAGATTTATCCTACAAAAAGTATTCAACTGATTGTACTTAAACAATACAACCACGCAAGATATTATAAGCATTTGAACCAGACTTATTCTTTAAGTTAAAAAAAAATCCTGGCCACAGGTAATGGCAAAGGAAACTGTCATGAGTTCAGTCCCTGAGGGAGCCTGTTAGTGTTCAGAACGCCTCTGTACAGGTGTACCCAATAAAGTGGCCAGTGAGTGTATATGTCGACTGTCACCGCCGACAGACCCAGACCAGGTCCGACTGGGTCCAGTCAGTCATCACATCCAAATCCCATATATAATTGGCACAACCATTTTCCTGTTCTCCCCATTCTGCTGACAATATGTAAATGTGGCATATGCATGTTTTCCAACATGTCAAACTAGTCCTTAATCATGATACAAGTTCAGAGTTAGTAAAAACATTTGCTTCTCTGACATCACCATCAGGACTATGAATTTTTCTCTTGACAATAAAGAAATTTTTAAATAAAAAGTGTTGAACTACTGGCTATTATCTTTATGAACATAAGCTGATTTTATGCATAGTTTCCAAATTAAGATGAGACTGACACAACACCTCAGGGAGCCACTGACTGTTGATGAGCTCTTACATAATGCGAAATTCATCGCTGACAAGTCCATGGTGAATATATACAATGCAGTTACTTACAAATAAGCTCTGTGCAGAGCAACAATAGCATAAAGTTACTACAACAATACAGTCATTCACGACTACGGCTGTAAAACCATTGCATAGCTTCTTGTTATGGGGCTGAGTGAATGTAAAAGAATTTAATACAATCCCCAAAATTTCCCTTCATCCACACTCGAGGCGAGCGCTGATCCCGTAAATACAACTAACAAGCTTGTCAGTCAAAGAGTTTAGGTCTAGAAATAAAACATTCAACTCTTCCCTGTCAGCTGGATGGTGTTGGACTGAAGTAATGAAGATGCACCAGGAAACATCTAATACATCAACACTTCCCTGGAGATGAAATAATCAGTTTTTCTGAACAGCACTGGCTAAAACAGGCTCATAAATCCATAATAAGGAGCTGTATTCAGCGAGCAGAGTCCAGCTTTTCTCTCCCTCTTCTTCTCAGACCTGAAAATGTATTTCACTGTATGCACACAGCAATTCCACGTGAGTCTCAGAGACATGGACGGTTTAAATTTTCATCAAGAAATATGTCAAATAAATCAAAGTCACCTGTCCTAGTACAAGACAAAGGATTTTTTTTAAAAGCAACCCGACAGACACTCAGCACTGTGTAAGAAGTAAACCAGACAAATACACAGCTTTATCCTGAAATGACATTATTTAGACACCAACCAGGAGCTGGGGAAAGAGAACACATATACACTTTGAAAATGTGAGTGAAACGCAAATGAATGCCTAATAAGAAGGGTTTCCACCTGAGTCATTCATAATCATTACTCATAGTCATCATAATAACTTGTCTGTCAACCAGCAGTAGTGAAAGCCAGATTTAATCTAATCTGATTAAGATAAATGGCTCACTCATTGATACTTGTCAAAGTGTGAAGATATCAGAGTGAAGGCCAACTGATTTGTGAAGAGAGATGACGGCTGGCCAGCCTGTGACTCCCTGTGAGCCGTTAGTCCACTCATTACATTTTGTTGCATCAGACTCTCAGAAGTAGATGACTGCCAAATGAAAAGCCTAAAAATGCTGCTTTCTCAATCTCCTGTCTGCTTCAGTGGTAGTTATCGTGAAATACAGGTTTATATTAGCACAACTCCATTATGATATGACAAAGAGTATAACATAATTAAAGTATCTATTTGATAAAGCATCTGCATCTACATTTGAAACTGACTCTATAGTGGTGTAGCTTCCATAAACATGACTTGGTTGACTTCTGAAAATAGAAACCACCCACTCACCTCATTTAACATCATCCCTCTTGCATAAAGTTATAATCTCCACCTGACCAAACACCTATGATGGCTGTAATGAGTTACCACGTCTTAGCTTGGAGTGAAACTGACACAGAAAATAGCCTGCTTGTGCTCTGAAACGGCATGTGTGTATGTGAGTGAGCAACTGTCCTGGAAAACAAGCGCTGTTTGTGGTCAGCTTTGATAGAGCCAGCAGTGAAGGGCAGGGACTCCATTCAGGAAGCTGCTGTGGGTGTGTGTGGGTGGGTGTTGCAGCCATTTGAGAAGGCTGATGTTGTGGTCAGAGACTGACCCTGGATTTTATCCTGTCAGATTAATTCCATGTCATCTGGGATTTACTGTTCAAGTTGATCAGGATGCTGTACACAAGAGTGTGTGAGAATTCTGCACAAGTAAGAAGGAAAAAAACAACAGTTTACTTTCCTTCTAACAAGTGTCCCAACCGCTACACCTTTCTGGTGTGGCACAGGCAGTGTTGAAGCTCAGTATGTGCTTTTGTTATCTTCATGGATAAGGAAATCGTATCACTCTTAAATTAGATTATCTTGATTGTCACTTAAACTGCTGTCTGGGAGGTCACTGGCACCATGTATATATGCATGTTGCTTGGCAAAGGGTGCTGCAGGAAGGTGACAGTGTCTCCTACAAACCACTGGGTGTAGTAGGATGATGTGATCGCTTTGGTCTACAGGCAGGCTGTGGTTCAGTGGGCTGGGCGCTGGTGAGGGGAATGTCAGTGGCCTGACTGCCCACCTGCTGTGTACACACATGTGGGACATATACGTAATGTGGACTCAAATCAAAATGAATATTTAGCCAGTTAAACACACAGGGGGTTTCAATCTCTTTCAAAACAGTTCCACTGGTCAGCACAGGCTGGTGAAAACACTACTTAAAGTTAATGAAAACTGAAAAGCTCCTGACTCATGAGGGGGATTTATCACTGACGTCATATAACCACATGCTGAAGTGGTGACTCTTGTTCAAAACAGCAGAGAGAGAACGTGTTTTCGTTCAGTCTCTGATCTGGGGAGCAGCTGTTGAACCGTTGTTTTCAGGCACATTTTACACAGCCATAAATGGAGCCTTCTAACAGCATGCTTCTACATTGTTATATGGTACAACGGAGCAGATGGTACTGTGAAATAGTTTCTCCTGCGGAGCAGATGGTACTGTGAAATAGTTTTTCCTGTTGACACACACACACTCTCTCTCTTTTGCTTCAGTCTGGTCCTTTTATGCGTAAACCTAGCCAGTGACATTGTGTTAATATGTCATGCACATAGGAACTTCGCCAGTGCACTGGAAAAGCAGTACCCGCCCCCTGTAGTAAACCCAGCTCCCTCCAACAGATAAGGAAATAGGCCTAGCGTGTTTTAAATCGCAAAATGTTTAAGCTTTAAGAATCAAGTCATGTTTGGAAACAAAATAAAGCCCTTGACAATAAAGTTACAGTGCGCTCTTATATGCTGAAAGTCTGCTGAGGACGCTTAATGGTTCCGAGCTCCAGCTGAACAATGGAGGTTCCGTCGATACTCTGCTTGCTATTGCAGACCGAAGCCCCGTATCCTCTCTGCAATAAGGGGTGCAGATCAGATTGGCACCGAGCATGGTGAACAATCTACGGCATCACCAATGGAAATAAAAATGCAAGCATGTCAAATTAAAATAGTAACCGTGTATGCCATCTGTGCGTCTTACCTTTGTCTTGACCTGAAGAAATGATCTCCTCCTCTTTCGGATTTGCAACCTGTGTTATTATGGACGTGTTGTCCATGGAAACGAAATGTTAACGCACCTTCGGCTACACCGTTTTATTCCTTGGCAAACATTGCCAAGCGTACTACAGTCCCCTGGCAGTGCACAGGCTATAGCGTCCGCGCTTTGCACCATTAAAATCCCATTTTCTTCGAAGCATGCAGTTCCATTCCCCGGAGTTTACAAACAAATGTCACTGAGAGCAGCGGTCACAGTGCGTCCAACATCTGACATGACAATCCATCGTGCACAAACGAAACGTCAGCCCTACATTGAAGCTCTGTGTATCCGCCGAGGCTGTTGCAGGCAGCATAGCACCCGCCTTCCGCCTGCGCTCCGGCTTCAATCCACAAACTACAATATCATCTGCGTGATAGTGTTACAGTGTTTACCCAGAGATGGCGACCGTCCTGCCGCTGGGCCATGCAAGCTCGCTTCATCAACACTCCTGCAGCGTTTCTATTCTTCTTCTCGATCCAGGCTGGGAAAAAAACTTCGCAGTCCGCCCACCACACACTGTTGTTGGTGTTCAGGAAAACGTTTCACACGCAGTCTATAGGCTGTGAATGTTTGCTGGTGTTCCCAAATGTACAACGTTGACCGAAAATTGAAAGTCTCGCGAATATTTGGCGCAGGGACTGATTGTGTGATGTTTACAACCAAGGGGTCAAGAGTCCAAAGTGCACAAATACACCCCCACCCACACTAAATAATGTGAAATGTTTTTGTTTATTCTAATTTTCTAGGTAGATAACTGCTACAATAGCCTATACTTTAGGTAAATACATATTATCTACTCTTTTGCCCAAATGCGGTTTCACAGCCTTTCCCAAAGATTGAGATTCTGGCGGACAAATACCAAATGAATAAACAAATATGGCTTAAAAAGGTAGGAATTAACAACTTTGACAATTTTTTGAACCAGATATATATATATATATAAAAACACCTTTCAAAAGTGATGTGTAATTGGAGAATGTAAACTTCCCCTGGGGATGTTATAGCCTCAAATTCCCTTAAAACAGAGGACATGACCTCAGGTGTAATTACAGTCATTAACAATTGCAAGCAGATCTAATCATGTTTTTGTTATTGTTGTACAAACACATTACTGACCGACTGAATGAATGAATTTTTATGAAACTTCTTCCACCCACACACAACACTGGGGGGACTCATGGCTGCACCACTTTCTAACACAACACCTTTTGCACCACCCCCCACGTGCACTGACAAACATTATTCATGCTATTTCAGCCTCAGTGGACCAGAGAACAACAACACAGGAGATAAAGTGGCTTTCTGGTCTGGAGCCAGCAGTGACGTGTCTGAGTGTTCACCCGTCTTCTCCTTCACTGTCACTTTACTGAAGCTGAGGTCCATGCGGCCCTGAATAAACCCACCTGAAAGACAAGCATGTGATGGCATATGAACAGGAGGAAAACAGCAGTAAGTGCAGGCTGTCATCCGTTGATACTGCTCTTACTCAGTTTGTAATCTCCTGGCTGACATGAGGCTGTCTGTGCTGCCCAGATGTGTATAATAATGCATGTGCACAATTTAAAATCCAACCATCTCTGAGACACTTTGCACAATCACAGTCTCTTCTCTGGTACTGACTATCTCAGTTTACTGTGTCTGTGAAGACTACCTGAAATCTGATGACACAGAACATGTGGCTAACCACAGCTTGATTACTTCACATAAATAAGTTGAACAACTTCTCAAAGGAAAACAGGAGAATGTGCAAAGAAAATAAAGCCAGAGTTTCAAAATGTATTAGAACCTGTTGATTATTTGCACAAGGGAATGATCTGTGGTGTCGAGAGCTGCACTGAGATCAGATAAACACAGAGGTGGATTCTCTGAGTGAATCTTTAAGTACAATTTCAGTGTAGTGATGGGCCCCGAAAGCAGATTGAAAAGGTTAAATTTGTGAACTAAAAGCTGCTGAGAAAACTCTTTCTATTACTTTTGAAAAGAATGGAAGCTTAGATGCTGGTTGATAATTATTCAGAGACGCTGGTTATAGTTGTGGTAGAGGTTTAACTACAGCTGTTTACTGCAAGTGGAGACAATACATGTTTTAAGTGGTAATTTCTCAACATTCATCATTGTAGGTTCCAAAATTGAAAAGTTTAGTTGGTAGAGGGTCGAGAAGGCAAGCAGTAGGCACAGAAGGAAGCTGACACCGGTTTTAACACTGATACAAGAGATATACTCTTACAATTTGTTAGAAAAGAGACCATCTGAGATTCACCATTATGTTCAACTGGTTCTGCATAAATGGCTGAAAAAAAGGAATTAATTTATCATCTAATCTCATCTATTTAACAGCAGAAAAAGTAAAAAAAAATTGACATTGTATAGTTATAGAAAAATGGTTGTATCATATTCTTCATTTAAACCATTGGGATGCAGAGTTTTAAGGGTGTATATATAGCACAATATCAAAAATACATAATGTTTACACACTCCAAATGCAACTTTTAAATCTTAAAAGTATAAGCACAACTTATCTGTCACAATATGTTTTCATTTTAGAGATAAGAGCTCCCTCATCAATCAATAAAACACTGTAAATGGCTATTGACTGCTGACTTTTTTGTGGAATTTGCTGCTACAAAAAGTCATTAGTTTGCTTTTGGTGCCACCATGTGGAAAAAACTAAATTACTAGATAAAGGTCATTTTCAAAAATCATTTTAAATGGGGACTTATTTAGAAAGATCATGTAGCATACACTCAGTTGTCAGTTTGCTGGGTTTGTGTAATGACAGCCACAGACTAATCCAACAGTCTGGCAATAAATTCTCTAATGAAGGCTTGTGTTGCGGTTGGGCTGAGATGTTTCTCATTAATATAAATGGGGTGGACAAAATAATTAATATATCTGTCAATATTAAGTGATACGGCTCAACAGCACCACAAACATAAATCATGAATTCATTTTATTGCATTTCATTGCGCTAATACTTTAGATGTAAATATAGCTATGCATCATGTGAAAAATAATTCCGCAAGCACTGGTTGATTGTTTAGTATATTATTGTATTTTCACACAGCATATCACAGTAGGAAAACCACAGTTTAAATGATGGCTGATTTCCCTGTAGCTGCTTCAGTTTCAGTATTCTGCGTTTGTGTTTTCTCACTGTCACGGTATTTTGTCTTACAGGTCCACTTGACATGATTGACATGTTCTTTTTTATTTTTTACTGGTTTCCATTTAACAATGTTAAAATTTAATAACCACAGACTTTTTAATGATCTATTTTATGTATTTTTTAAGTTGCTACCATTCGTGATGAATCTGCCGATACATAACAAAGTGCTTGTGGAGAAAGTGCTCGCCGGAGCGGCAGCAGCATTTACTTCCTTCCAGAAATTTCATCATTCGGCTTGGCGATCCATGCTTTTTCGTAGCGCAGCATCGGCACTGGTGAGGACCAGCATTGAGATTTCCTTCATCTGCTCCTTGTCCACGGTCCGGTTTGTGCGGCAGTCTTTCCGCTACTCGCACCATAACAGGCCGTTTTCAACGTCGGTCTGTTTGTGTAAGCAAAAGAAGAAAATCCTGTGGCTGCAGCTAGCGGAAGGACAAACCATGGACGGCAACATCGAAGAGGTTCTCGCTCCTCTGAGGCTTGCTGTCAAAGAGCAGGTAACAAACACTGACCAATCTTGCAGTCTCGGCTGATATGGACGAAGGGAGTTTGTTTAAGATTAGGGTGCTTTATTGCTTCAAACTCGGGCATAATCAGCGTGCTAACTTTGCAAGCTACCCGGCTAGCCTGCCCCAGCTGCTCATAGGACTGACAATGAATGAGGAAAGCCATTGCTAGCCGGCTAACTCCTAGCGCTAGCCGACAGTCATGTCTGTGCTCATTGCCACGTTTCAATGTGCTGCTCCTTCTCTTGCAGACATTTGAGCAGGGTGGGGTTAAGAAAGTGGGCCAAGTTACTAATGCTATCAGCTTTTTAAGCATGCTTATATTTCAGTTGAATTGTTGTTGCTGGCTCAGTGCTTTTCTCTCTGGAAATCTCAAGCCAACACTCTGTTTTAGGGGGAACTGGTTCGCCAAATGAAACAGGAAGGTGCTCCTGATGTGGATGTTACTAAGGCTGTGGCTGAACTGAAAGCAAGGAAACGGATTCTGGAGGCTAAGGTAAGTCACGAAAGTCTGTTTGAATACACTTCATTACATTTTAATGCAGTCTTCACTGTCAGTTAAAACTGATTCCGAGCCAAGCCTTAACATCATTGTAATAGAGAAGAAGACATGAAATTTGGCAATTTCGTTCACTTGTATAAGTCGATCATGATTGCAAACAGAAAGCGAAAATGGGTGCTGATTCGAGATACAGGTGTCTGACATTGTGGTGGAGTTTAATTAGAGGGTGTGTTCAATTTGGACCGAGCTTCTATTTCAAACATGGCGACTTAAACCTTTAAAAGTATATGTAACGTTGTAATCTAAGATGAAATATCTACCTACTAGTTCATTTTGTGACCAAGGTTCTAAACATAGCTCAATTTTCTAATCCTATTTCCTGAAAACCATAATTTGCAATTAAAAGATGTAAAAACTAGGTGAATTTTCAAAATTATATAATACTCTCCCCAAAAGTCACGAATGAACTTCTATTCTCAGACTTTCCAAAACTGAACCAGATCACAGAAAATCAACAATATCTCAAAGTTTTGTTTTATACATTGACACTATTATGGTATGTGTGAGGATATAAATGTTGTAAATATCGTTGCAGGAGCTGTCACTACAACCCAAAGATGACATTGTTGACAGAACCAAGATGGAGGATACCCTTAAGAGGCGGTTCTTCTATGATCAGGCCTTTGCCATCTATGGAGGTAAGACTAAGACACCAAGTAGAGAGAATTACAGTTTAGGCTAGTGCATACACAGCCATACTCGGACTGTTTGAGTATCCTGTTACCATGCAGTAATGCTTCCCAGGTGTGAGTGGACTGTACGACTTTGGCCCTGTGGGCTGTGCTCTGAAGAACAACATCCTGCAGACCTGGAGGCAGCACTTTATCCACGAGGAGCAGATCCTGGAGATCGACTGCACCATGCTGACCCCTGAGTCTGTCCTCAAGTAGGGGCCCTGTGATACTTCTGGTGCAGCTATGAATATGTTAGTCACTGTAAAGATGTGTAAGAATTAAGACATTACTTATTATGCATTAGGTCTTTGCTGATGTGTGAAGAGAGTGCCTGGTGGTTCCTAGAGTCAGCTCCATAGTGCTGAACTGTGGGGTGTTATTAACAGGCGCATAGTGAGTCTGCAATTTTATGCATGGAAGCTACCGCTATAGTAGCAATCCATAGCCCGGTTGCAGAGACATTTTTTGAATGGAATCAGATATCACCTTTTCTTTTTTTATGCTGTCATTCCTTATTTGTTGCATGATTTCACCAGGACGTCGGGACACGTGGACAAATTTGCTGACTACATGGTGAAAGATGTCAAAAATGGTGAATGCTTCAGGGCTGACCACCTCCTCAAAGGTAAGCCTTTTGTACATCTGCCTTTATGTCTAGAACTGCAAGTTTTCATTCATGGGATGCTGCAGAGGGGAGGCATGGACATGGTCCAAGCCTGTAGCTCCTGTTGGTGGGCTGGGCTCTGAGCATCTCTGTTGTGCCTGAGGTAGAATGGAAGTGGCTGGATTGGCAGATATCACACATGGTGTTTCTAGCGGTAGAAGCTGCTAGGATCACAGAGACTGATGCTGTGCAAAAAAAAAAAAGTGTATGGTCACAGTAGTTTGTGCAAGCATCGTCATGTTTTTCTGTGTCCTGTAGCCCACCTCCAAAAGCTGATGTCTGATAAGAAGTGTACAGCAGAGAAGAAGGCTGAGATGGCTGACGTGATCACCCAGGTCAGTGTTAACTGAGTAAAACTGTACTTGTGAGGAATTATCTGGAAGTGCTGCTACTGATAAGGATGTAAATAATTCACCTGTTTTTGTCTTTTTTTTTCTTCTTCTTTTTTTTAGATGGACAACTTCAGCCAGCAACAATTGACTGATCTGTTTGTTAAATACAACGTCAAGTCACCCACCACAGGAAATGACCTCACAGCGCCCATCTCCTTCAACCTGATGTTTCAGACATCCATTGGACCAGGGGGGAATATGCCAGGGTAAATTACACTGAAGAATTTTTCTTTGATGCTGTCAAATGTATTTTACTTTTGAGTAATTATATAAATCTATAAACTTGCAGCTATCTGAGGCCTGAAACAGCTCAGGGAATCTTCCTCAACTTTAAGCGCCTTTTGGAGTTTAACCAGGGAAAACTTCCCTTTGCTGCTGCTCAGATTGGAAACTCCTTCAGGAATGAAATCTCTCCTCGCTCTGGACTCATTCGTGTTAGGTGAGAAAACCTCAAACCTGTTTACTCTTTAACACATCTTGTCCCTGTACTTGAAGAGCAATTTGAGAGATTAAACAGGAATGCAACCACTTTGCATCTCCACACAGGGAGTTCACAATGGCTGAGATTGAGCACTTTGTGGATCCAAATGAAAAGGTCCACCCTAAGTTCTCCAGTGTAGCTGACCTGGAGATCATACTATACTCCTCTAAGGCCCAGACCAGCGGCCAGTCTGCACAGGTCATGAGACTCGGAGATGCTGTGGAGCAGGTAGGTATCATTACAATGACTTTGATATTTGGACTAAGTAAACTGGTATACATTTAGCTATAGTTGGTAATAGCAACTTTGACACAAATCCTTAAAACATTTGAGAAAATTCTTTGGCATGTACAACCATTAATACAAATTAAAAATGTAAAGATGATTGTTGCTTTCAGAAGCTATTTGCACAGGATATTTATCATCGAGTAATGTCTGTGTGACCAAGATTGTAGTGTGTCACTTAATTTTACTGAGTAACAAAAGCCCTTTTTACACTGCCTATTCAATGCAGGAGTTTTCCGCCTTGCCATACTGTATAAAAACATTGGCAGTTTGCTGTGAT